ATTAATTTTCCGAAAATAATAACTGTCCTAATTATCATATTCGAAAATGAAATGCATGCCAAACACGCAACGCAAGGTCATAATGCACGTGCATTATTGCGGATCGCATTCGCATGGCATATTCGCGTGGATGGGTTCGCCGCCCACGTCCCATCCAGTCCGAGACTATACATAGCCAATGGATCGGTCAGAGTCGGCTTTGGTTTTTAAACCAGTGGCCTCAATTTTTCAAAATTAGAGCAGCAGAAATGGGCAGTGAAAGAACCAACGACTTGTTAATTGTAATACAATAAATTTAATTTTTTTTAAAATAAAATTTTAAATTTAAATCTAATGAATGAAAAAGGTTTTTTTTATAAAGTTTGATTTGATTTGATTTAATTTTAAATTAATAAAAAATTAATGTGATTTTTAATTATCAAAAATTAATATTTAAAAAATAAAACACCGACAAAAGAGGCTTTACTTTCCAAGTGTCACGTTATTTTAAAAGGGGGTGGAGACAAAAAATAATAATAAATCTAGTGAGATTATGAAACATGAAATTGAGGAAAATCATACTTTTTAATAATTAAAATGTTAAGATTAATAATAAAAAATTAAATCATTTTTAATAAATTAACACATAAAAAAGTTTATTAAAGGTATTTAAATAATTTTATAAGTGATTTTAATATTTAAAATGTCAATATATCTTAATTTTTATTTTTTTTAATGAAATTTTTTGTTGGGAACTTAAGTTTTTAAATTTTTTTTATCACTACCAGTTAAATGAAGACTTATATATTTTTATCAATTAATGTTTTTCTTAATTAAATTATTTTCTAAAATGAATATAAAAAGTTAAAAGATAAAATCTTAAAATAATTCAAAAACTCAAAGGGAGAAGATCCTTGAATTTGAGTTTAATTGAGATTTTTAATTCTTAATTTAATTGATATACCTATCTCTATTATGATAAGAGATTTTATTGAAAATCCTATTAGAAATAATTGTTGAGCTATTATCGTAATAGATCAACTTAATTTTGATTTGGTCTAATTCTCTTTATCTTAAACTTGATTTGAGAATGTTAACCTATAACTATAACTATATCAAATTTTTTGTTTCAATATCCTAAAAAATATATATATTTAATACTTCTTTTAATTACTATTATATATATTTTTAAGATAGTAAAAACACAAAAAAAAAAAAAAGAAAAAAGCCTACAACATTAACAGTGTAACGAAGCTTTAGTTTATTTCTTTTCGATTTCAAGATCATCAATCGATTCTCGTTTTGAGTCTAATCTAGACCAATCTCGATTTGGACCGGTCGATTGGTCATATATAACCCAAACCCAGACCCAGACCCAATTGGCTAAAAAAACCAAACCTGAGTGGCCTTAGCATATTCCATTTTCGAATAACAATCCAATCTTAACTGGTTTCGAGATCTCCTCAACCCCTCACGACTCTCTCCATCAACCACCCAAATCGCGCCACGTGTAGGGCATCCCTCTCAAAGAACGTCCCCCATTTTGGACTTTAAATATAAGTGGCGACGGGTGGCCTTGTCTCCCGGATCCCTTTGGAACCATCACCAGTACCACCGCCTCTCTCCGTCAAAACAACTCCACATCGCCTTCTTTCCCCTGCACCTCTCCCAGGTACGCCGATTCATCTCCTCATTTTCTTCGAATTCTGTTTCCTTTTTTCTTTTCCCGTTTGTTTCGTGGAGAATATCGCCCATTTTCTCCTTGGAGGAGCGCCTGAGACGGCAGCCGCCGTAGCTCATCTCCGGGCGATTTTTCCGGCTTCTCGATTTATAGTTATAACGTATCGCTTTTTTTCATAGCGTAAAAATTGAATTGTTAGATTCTATGCTTTTCCTGATAGAATTGCGAAGTCGATAACGTTTCGAGTTGGTTATTATTATTACTATTATTATTATTATTATTATTAATTTGTTTCGTTTCTTGTTGTTTTCTGAAAGTTGTATTTTGAAGATAATTCTGAGCTTTATTACCTGTTAATTCCGTTTTTTAGTTGATAAACTGTAATCTTTAGGAACAGGGTTTGAAAACTTTTAGATCGGTTTAGAATTTTTTTGGCAAAACGCCTCTGTGTAGAATCTGTTTCTTGTCGGTAGTTCCGTTGCAATTTTTTCGTTTGTTGCTCCGGCAGGATGTTAATTTTTTTGAGAAAACAAAATTTCAGATGATGTTTTTTTTAAATGTTGTTAAACTTGTTCTCTTTGTTCTAAATCTTGAATTGCAGATCTGATAACGTGATCTTCATGAGGTCAACAATTACTGGAGCATCCACTGTTTCCTGCAAATCGGGAAACAAGAAAGCCGCCTTCTTCTTCGGCTGGATCTTGTTCTGCTTGCTTCCAAGGTTTTTGGGGACTCCTACTACATTTGTGAACTTCCTTTTGATTAATGCTGTTGACAGAAGTCCTGCACCATTGAACGTGTTGGAGATCGAGATTTAGCCATTAGTGGTTCTTTTGGCCTTCTGCGCTGGTGCATTCTAGTACTCTGTTAAAATGGTTTCCTCTCAATTGCCTGGTTTTAAGAAGACAGGCTCATGCAAACCCATACAGGGCCAGTTGTTAATTCCCTTAACTGTACCTGAAGCTGTTGATACTGATCAACTTGAGCTGGATTTCTCTGATGTATTTGGTCCTTTGCCAGTTCAGGCCACAACAGAAGCAACTGAACTTGCTTATGATGATCCAATTGTTGTTCACAGCCGGTCACATTCTCTGGTTGGCCCCTCGTCTTTTGTTAGTCACTCGTTGAAGCTAAGCAAGCTCACTTTGCATGAGACAGAAGATTCACTGGAGCTACTAGAATGCATTGCAGGAGAGACCAACGAAGAAGTTGAGGAGGATTCAAATGAGGAGCCCCTCAAAGATGTTAATGTGAATGCCATGCACGTCAACAGCATAGGCATTGAAGATTTTGAAGTTTTGAAGGTTGTTGGGCAGGGGGCATTTGGAAGAGTATACCAGGTGAGGAAAAAGGGCACATCAGAAATTTATGCCATGAAGGTTATGAGGAAGGACAAGATAGTGGAGAAGAATCATGCTGAATACATGAAGGCTGAGAGGGATATTTTGACAAAAATAGATCACCCCTTCATTGTCCAGCTCAAATACTCGTTCCAGGTATCATTTTTGAATTCAGTTCGTCTACTTTTTACCTTGTTTGTTTGAAGTATATTCTTTAGAATTTGTATTTAGAATCCTGGAAGTCAATTACTGGAGCATTAAAATATATAGAACATCCATGGTGAATTTCTTGACAATTAGAACATTAAGAATCTGATGTTATTGCTTGCAGACCAAATACAGGTTATACCTAGTGCTAGATTTCATAAATGGAGGGCACCTTTTCTTTCAGCTCTACCACCATGGCCTTTTCAGGTACATCTCTAATTTCATGGTTTTTATGCTAAAATGCTGGCAACATAATGTTGATTGATTAAACATACAAAAAACACCCACACAAACATGAGGTTGATTAGTTATGTGGCTTTGTTTCAGAGAGGATCTGGCACGTATCTATGCTGCTGAGATTGTTTCTGCGGTATCTCACCTCCATACAAATGGGATAATGCATAGAGATCTTAAACCTGAGAATATTCTATTGGATGCTGATGGCCATGTAATCTCTCTCTCTCTCTCTGTGTTTTAGATGTTTCCCCTAAACGTTGAACAAATAAAAGTTCTAATATTGTTACCTTGTTTTATTTAGGTGATGTTGACTGACTTTGGCCTGGCCAAGCAATTTGAGGAAAATACAAGATCAAACTCAATGTGTGGAACGGTTGAATACATGGCACCTGAAATCATTCTAGGGAAGGGTTATGATAAGGCTGCAGACTGGTGGAGTGTTGGGATTCTACTATATGAAATGCTTACTGGGAAGGTATGGTACTTTCAATTTGAGTATTGTTCTTCTTTGCAGTTACTGTGGTGGTTTTATTGGTTAATAATTGCTTGCTTTTGGTTTCAATAACTAGGTTTCTTTGTGTGTAAAATTAAATTGTTGACATCTGACTGGATCCTTAATATGCAAATGCAGCACAGAAATGCTAATTTTTTTTTTTTTCAATAGTGACAAAACCCCCCAAATAAATTGAGTAGTATTAACTTCTCTCTTTTCCTTCGGGAAAATACAAGTGCTTGACATAACGAATTTCTGCATCACTATTTTCCTTTTTAGGGACTTGGAGAACATTTAGGTTGTTTAGCATGGATAAAGAATTGTAAAGTTTGCATTGGATGTTAGCCACACAAACTCAAACAAAGAAGAAGCCATCAGTATTGGTTTCCTCTAGATTGCTATTGTAACACTAGAAAGTGGAAACATGCTCTGAGCTTTGTCTAAGCTTAGAGAAATTTTCTAAATTCTATTGAATGCACATTAGGGGTTGCTGTTTACATCTTTTGGAGACTGTATGCGATCATCTTATGCTTGGTGTGGTGGTAGCCTTTGAGACTTAATGATTACCATTCCTCCTTGTTGGTATCATACATATATCTGGTTCTTTCTTGTACAGCCTCCTTTTATTGGTGGGAACAGGGACAAGATTCAACAGAAGGTTGTTAAGGATAAGATAAAGCTGCCAGCCTTCTTATCTAGTGAGGCACATTCTCTGTTGAAAGGGGTAAATGTTCAAAGCAGTCATCTTTTTGCTAATTAATTGCTTGTTATTGCGTTATATTTATAGCAGTCAAAATCTGAAACAACCGTATGGGTACTGTTTTTCAGCTGTTGCAAAAGGAAGCCAGCAAGCGTCTTGGCAGTGGACCTGCAGGAATTGATGAAATCAAGCGACACAAGTGGTTCAAGCCAATTAACTGGAAGAAATTAGAGGCAAGGGAAATCCAACCCAGTTTCCGTCCAGAAGTTGAAGGAGTGCACTGCATCGCAAACTTCGAGAAACGATGGACTGATATGCCATTATCAGAATCTCCAGCTTCCAGTCCAAAGACCATCACAAATCCCTTCACCAACTTCACTTATATAAGGCCTGCAGCTTCTTTCCTACAGAAGAGCAGCCCCTTGGTCTAGAGGATATCTGCCTTCCATTCATCAAAATAGCAAGTTCTAATGGTTTTAGTTCCTCGGAACCCCTTGTTATATTGTTAATCATATAAAGCTGCTTTTAAAAACTAGTCATGCAGTGAAAGCTTTGCCGCTAGAACTGTACTGTTGTTTATCATGTTACGTTTGTTTTTTTTTTTTTTTTTTTTTTTTTTTTTTAGTCCGGGTATGGATTATGTGCCTTTTATCTTATTATGGAACTATGGTTTTCACTTTTCAATGCACGAGTCCTTGAAATTACTACGAAATTTTATGTACCATATTCTACTTTCTTGTATCTGCAGCAACAGGAACTGATCATCACTGGTAAGGACATGTGTGGTCGATTGTTTTTTTTTCAATGATTAAAGTCCTGTGCCGTTATCAGCCTCATCTCTTTATCCACGACTCCTTTTCTGTGGACAAATTTATAGAATACACGTGGAGAAAAACCCACCTCTTTCTGATGCTTCAATTGAATTTGTCACGAGAACATACCAGAACTTCTGTAAAACTAGCATGGCTTCTCTGCTATTTCCAACTCCAACCTCAGCTACGATTCATCAGAACCGCAACATCATTTGGTTCTCCCCAGTGAATCCCACCTCCCAAGCTAATCCCTCTTCATTAACAAAGAGGAACCCAGGAAGGTGCAATGCATTCTTTGGCAACACCCCAAATGATTTGTTGGCGAATACCAGTCATCTGGATCAGTCATGGTCTCAATTTCCTGTTGTTAAATCTGGGTTTCTGCAATTCCAGAGGTTGACAGGGGAATTACCGGAGACACAGAAATGGGGTTTCGTGGTTTTTGCAGGGTTAGCATGGATTTACTTGACGGCGAGACCAGGTGTGCTAATAGGCGCCATTGATGCATACATTCTAGCTCCTCTGCAATTGGCTTTCGACAGCTTGATTGGCAGGAGGAGCCTGAAGAGGACGGACTTCCTGATTGGGGATAAACTGGGTGAAGGGTCTTTTGGTGTTGTTTACTCGGGTGCGATTGTTCCGAAGAATGTTAATGTTGAAGAAACCATGCAGAAGCGAGGAAGAAGAAGAAAAGCATTGGATGTGGATGACAGATTTAAGGAGAAGGTCGTTCTGAAACAGGTGATTCATCAGAAACTGTATACCTTTACATATTGTGCCTTATTTGCAGATGTGTTTCGCCATTTTTTATTTCTTTTTTTAAATTTATCAGAATATGAATCTGGGTTTTCCCAATTGGGATTTGGATGCAGGTGAAGGTTGGAGTCGAGGGGGCTAAAGAATATGGAGATTTTGAGGAGTGGTTTAACTACAGACTGTCAAGAGCAGCTCCTGAAACATGTGCTGAGTTTCTTGGAAGTTTTGTTGCTGATAAAACAAATTCACAATTTATAAAGGGTGGCAAGTGGCTTGTTTGGAAATTTGAGGTACTATTCTGGTTGTCAATTTATCCAAAACATATAATCTGCAATTTTGTTGCTTTTCTCTCTTCAACTCTCCTTGTGATGACATGATTTTGCAATATTAACTCATTTTTTAAAGCTAAATTGTCTATAAAAGAAGTGTGTTCGAAGAGTATTGATAGTTACTTACCTTATCGGTTCACTAGTTTTAGAGTTTCTATTATACCTTTATCAACTCAACTCTTGTTTTCTATGTTGAATGCGTGGAGATTACTGTAATATGTTCATGCTAAGGGTTGGCCTTCTGCCCCCAGAACTAATTGTAGGGCTGTACATTTAACAGGGAGACAGCACTCTTTCTGATTACATGAGAGATCGTAGCTTTCCTTTAAACTTGGAATCTGTAATGTTTGGGCGTGTGCTGCAAGGAGTGGAATCTGTTAAACGAAATGCATTAATCATCAAGCAAATAATGCGACAGATTATTACTTCGCTTAAAAAGATTCATGACACAGGCATTGTTCACCGGGATGTAAAGCCATCCAACTTGGTAGTGACAAAAAGAGGACAGATTAAACTAATAGACTTTGGGGCAGCAACAGATCTTCGTATTGGCAAGAACTATGTGCCAGACCGTACCCTGCTTGATCCTGACTATTGTCCTCCAGAGCTGTATGTCCTACCAGAGGAAACACCAAGCCCTCCTCCAGAGCCAATTGCTGCATTATTTTCCCCAATTTTATGGCAGGTACAAGAATTTTCCTCTGTTTTTAACTATGTGGATTGCAATACATCATCTTTTTGTTCCTTATCATTTACCAGAGATATAGAAAAATAATGATGATGGCTGGATCCGCCTTCAAATGGATTTTAATGATCCTTATATGACTAGAAAATATGTAAAATTTCGTATCTAATTTGATGTGCCCTCTACCTCATTGGCTTTCTTCTCCATATATGAGTATGTAGGTGCACGCCATGACATATGATGTACATGTACGGTTTCTTCTGACATGCTAAGCGTAGTTCATAATTATTTTTGCAGTTGAACAGTCCTGATCTATTTGATACTTATTCTGCTGGTATTGTACTTATGCAAATGGCAATACCAACCTTAAGATCAGTGTCGGGTTTAAAGAATTTCAATTCAGAAATAAAAGCAGCTGGTTATGACTTGAATAAATGGAGGGAGAGAACTAGGTTAAGGCCTGACTTCACAATTCTTGATCTTGACTCGGGTAGAGGATGGGATCTAGCCACAAAGCTAATTTCAGAGAGAGGTTTCCTTCGAAGGGGGCGTTTATCAGCTGCTGCTGCTCTGAGGCATCCTTATTTTTTGCTGGGTGGTGACCAGGCAGCAGCAGTTCTTTCGAAGTTCAGCTTAAACAAGTAAAAAGCTGCTCAGCAAAGTGAGTAAATATTTTCCTTCCATATCTTTCATTATTAATCTTCTTTCCCTGAATCTCCGTGGTGCATTATGTCTAATTTAGGAGTACTAAGTCATGAGATTTTGAGTTGGTATCAGTTTATCATACGTGATGAAGGGGGGCCCCTAATTGTTTGTTAATACTCAACACTTATTTCTGAAAAGGATGACCTTTTTTTTATTAATCCTGCCATTTTTTGTATACCTGCAGCAGGCGGCTGTCATCATAGTTTAAATATTTTACAGGGTTATCTACCCCAACTTGATCGCATATCTGAGACAGAACCTGGGCGATGCATTAATATCAAGGAATGAATTTAGATGCACTTTGTGCAATTAGTAGGTTGCCGATGCATGAGATGAGTAGGCTGATCATGTAGTAATTTTTTTTTAACCCATTTTGCTTTTGAATTTCTCAGAGGTTTTATATTCAAAATCCACGATATATTTTCATTTTCTGTGCAAGTACGAACAGGTGCAATATATTATGATCTTCTATTATCACGTCAGGCACAATTTTCTTTCTGCATACAATATTACAGTTCATCACGGTAGAGGAATGTGTCCAGACCACCTTTCTTCTTGCAACCCCATTTACATTTCCTCGAGCACAGAGAATCGAAGATGGCAAGTCTAGTGGAATGGAGGGATATGATATTTGATGTTGAAGGAGATTTTGAAAGCACAATTGCATAATCATCATTCATGTATTCTGTCCCCTCAGGAAATAGCTGCCAGAAAAGACTTCCAGCTCCACTACCTCCCTTCTTAGTTGAGTTCAGTAGTGTATTGTATACTGTGCTAAAAAACTTGTCCCTGAATGAAGAATTGTATCCAGGATCCTTTGAAGACACCCCAAACTCAGAAAACAGGACTGGCATGTTGAGGTACTTCTCTGCATCTTCTATGTGAGCTTCCATCCATGATTTGGTGAATTGCAGATGGGCATCACTGATTGTTTGAGAAATCCTTCACAGATGAATCAAATCATCTCTTAGAAATCATCATGTACTTATTGTCAAATGTAATGTTGCGGGAAGCATCAGATTCAGTGAAAGCTTACCAGGAGTCAGGATAAATGTGAACAGAAGCAAAATCAACACCAAGAGCCTGATGGTTTCTTATGAAGTCCGTTCCAACCTGTGTAGCATATGAATTCGGATTGAACTGAGCTCTCTCAGGTGCGGAGGGACCATAAAATCCTTCTAATCCGATCTCAACTAGATGCTTTGCATCTATGCTCTTCACATAGACTGCCATTTCTTGTATCCATGACTGGAAGACAATAACATCACAGCGGCTTCAGGATTGACAGCAAGCCTACCAGTTCTACAACAAACCCAACATACAGATAACCAGTTTGAAGAAAATCAAACCTGCAATTTATCACCAGTGGGGTCTGAGGTGCATCGAGGTTCATTCATCAATTCCCAAGCAAAGATTGTTGGGTCATTCTTGTAAGTTATGTTTGTGAATGTATTGACTCTGTTTAGCACTGTCTGCAATTCCAAAATATTCACAAAAGTGAGCTGAGATAGAACTGATCTCCACAGGAAAATGGAATGGATTGGAACAGTGAAAAGGAAAATTGCCTTGACATGGGCCTTGTAGTAGCCTCTAAGGGTTGGATGGGAGAAGAAATCATCATCAGAGGTTAAATTAAGTCCTGCGTCCTTCCCCCATTTCACATATTGTGGCTTTCCACCATATGCATCCCAGTTGTTGGCGAATGACAGAATCAGCCTGATCTTGTACTTCTTTGCTTCACTCACTACAAAATCCAAGCCCTGCAAATTTGGGGAGGAAACCAGATTATCTGATGACATGAAACCCGAGTGCTACTGGAAAGTTTTTATGGCAAAATTTATGGTACCTTGAAAACATCTTCATCATAAACTCCTGGAGATTTCTGAAGAGCTCGCCATTGACCATCATTGAATGCCCAAGTCCTGCAAACGGTTAGTCCCACGGAAGATGCTTGTTGTAATACCTCAGTGACCTTCCCTCTTGTAGAATTATCTGCAGAAAATACCATCAGCCAATAGGTATTGAATCCATTGAGGTAGAATGGCTGGCCATTAACTGCAAACTGGTTTCCGTCCTTCTGCACCATTGACCAATCTTCACCATCTGCATAAAAGCTGAATAACAGGCAAGCATTTGTATCAAGAATACTAGATATTGGAATGTCTCTATCTGCAGAATCTAAAACTAATAAAAACATCTATGGATGTTTCTGGAAGAAGAAGGTGCACACTTGGAACTTCTGAAAATGGGTGTTTTGCAGGCAAACTTTTGAGTTTAATAAAATTATTGATCTTTCAGGATTATCCATGATCATGCTGTATAATTTTAGAATACAAGAGTTACCTGTCAGTCGTGCTATCATGAAGTGAGGTTTCAGACTGTTCTTCCTCCATAAAACCAAAGACAGGGGTGTCAGGATTTCCAACAAGAATCATGAAGAATGCCAATGAGAGAATTGTGTTCATCTGTTTCTGGTAAGTTCCCATGATGCTTTGTTGCTAGGTTGCAATCTGCCTTAACCTAGGACCACATATTTATACATGTCAAGCTCCAGTGGCTTAATTTCCGTATGTAATTGGTTTGTATAACTCATATCTGAAATTATGAAGTAGAGTATCGGTGATGGTGTTTCTAGCTTTGACGCCAAGAAAGTATTCTTGGTTTGGGGTCTGCCATTGTCTTCTCTTTTAAACACAGATATAGTCAGAAGGGAATGGAGTAGATAGAGAATTGAAAGAAAGGTACGGTGTCTGTGATTAATGGGAAAATGCTTTCACTCCTAAGTTAAGTTTTCTTTGTGGGTCCAAAAGTCTCATTGGCAGTAAATTTGTGGTTATGTTAATGTCATTGCATTTGTTTGTTTGAGATGTTAATGCCATTGCATAATTAGTGGTTCAGTAATAATTTTTTTCTTAAGATATTAAATTACCTTCTTTCAAAAATTAAAAATTTTAACTTCAAGTCATGTGATATGCAATAAAATGTATAAAATGATAAGAATATATCTTGTGTTGTACAACAAAAAAAAAAAAAAAAAAGAAAAGAAAAGGAAAAGTTAACAAATCTTGTTATGGAATGGATCACTATACATAGGAAAATTATGAGAGAGAAGAAAGACGAAAATTGGAGCCGTTAAAGAGCGAGCTTTACCGAGCAAGGCTAAGCAATCATGAAGCACGCATTCATTGAAGTTTCAGAGCATTTGTTTCATCTTTCTTTTCTGTTTCTGTTTACTTTGTCTACTTTGATCCTTTGGCTTCACGATTTTGCCCTTGTCAAGGAAGGGGAAAAGAGGTGACCCATTTTTTTTTTTTCTAGGAGTACATTTAAAAGCATAAATATTTACCTTGGTTATACAATAAAAAGTAATTCTTACCTATTTGTTACATAATCTTACTTGCATATTATGTAATTCGAATTTAGAATATTTTATTTTTAATGAAAAAGGATTATTATTTAGCTAAGTAGTTGGTATTTGCAAGCATAATTTAAGTGTCTATCAATTAGTCAACAAACGAATCAAAACCACACATTCTAATAAATTTCAAACTACAAATCAAAGGAAAACTTACGAGATTCTAAACTAAACTTGTATTTTGGTAAAACTCAAACCTGAAACTTAAGAGGTACAAAGGTCTCCATTTTAACCATTGAGTCGAAGCTTTATTGGTGTGTAGGCCCTTCTATTCAACTTTAGAGTCTAGCCCCCGCTCCTTTATTTGAGAATACGCTTTTAAAAAGAGTTAGAAACCCAGAAAAAACTGCTTTAATAAAGAATAACAAATTTCCTGACAAGAAAAAAAAAGGAGTAATTTATCCAAAAAAAATGGGAAAAAAAAAAGAAAAAAGAAAAAAGAAGATGTTTCCTAAAAAATCTTCAAGTAGCTTCACATGTGCGGAATCTAGATGCAAGCGTGTCACTTACTTTTTTGAAAAGTAAGAAAAATGGATTTTTCCAACGACCCTCTCCTTCTACACGGTCCACCTCCATTAGGATGACTAAAAAAACGTTGGTTTAAGATTGAGTTTTGCACCTTTCAGACGATTTGCAAGAGGGAGGGATGCCTTCTTGTAGAATGGATTGTTACTCTGCCTTGTACAATCTCAAAAATTTTACCACTACTGTGAATTTAAGTTAATATATCCAAAATAAACTGAATAAGATGCGAATTAAAATAAACTTGATGTTTATTGCATGAAAGGAAATAAGAGAAGCAATTACACAAACTAATTTGGGTACTTGAATGCTGAAAACAACTTAAATCTACTGGAATTTGTGCTAAAACTGAAATATGAAAATTAAGATGAGCAATCACTACGAAACTAAAGAATTGAAAAATTGATGAGTTTGTATGTAAGGCTGATCGTGTGTTGAAAAAATTCAGAAAGCTTTTATTTATATCCTTCTTGCAAACTGTCTCTTGGCTGATTAAATCACGGATAACTTTCTCCCAAATTCTAAGGATTTCTCTTCCTTTTAAATTCAAACTGCAACAAACTGGATAATCTTTATTTTCCCAACCAGCTTTACAGATACGCATCCTTTTAGTGGATTTAATCTCACCTTATCCATTAACACGTGACATTACTAAAAATACAATTTATGGTGTAAACAAAAGAGTAACAAGCTTTCTTCTTTTCAGTTATGTTTTGAACTCTCTTGCGAATTGTGTGACACTTTTAGAATATGCTCTAGATGGGTAATTGATTTTCTTTCAGTTTTAGTTATAAAACGACAATTCCATGGCTTTACATGGATGATTCAGCCGTTTACGGTAGCACACAAATAAATGAGATAACATTACTGTAATAAAAGTTCATAAGGAAAAATTAGGATGTCAAATTGAAATGTGAAAAGTTTGGTGGCCCAAAAAAAAAAAAAAAAATTGAAATATGAAGAAAGAGGCCATTTAACATTAAAATGAGCATAATGTCACAAAATTTTATGTTATGATCTTATATGAATTTTTCATTTTACAATGATAAATTATATAACAATATATTCATCACTAGTTTCGGAATGCTATGTCAAGATATATAAATATTAATATCATTAAATTAAATAGAATAAGAGATATAATATAATGATATTAATATTTATATGTCTTGATTCTTACAAATTACGAGAAAAATTATTTTAAAATTATATTATTTTAATTTTTTTTTAGTATTAACCTTTCGATATTCAAAAACTACATTAACTTCTGATTAATTCGGAATGAATCGTGTTGGACCCCATATATCATTATAATAAAATATTATGAGAATAAATAAAAAAAATCTAATTCATATTTTAAAATTATAATATTTTATTCATTTTCAATAACTGTTTATTAAAATAATATAATTTTAAACTTACTTCTTCTTCATTTTTAAGAGGTAAAACAAATAAATCATATTTTAATAACTTATAGAAAAAAATGTATGAATATTTGCACGATATTTTAATAACTTTAATGATTTATAAATCATTAAGGGTATTTAACTCATTAATACTATTTATTAAGAGTATTTAAGATATTTCACAAATATTCATGCACTTTTTTTTTTATTCTAATATGAAAAGCATTTATATGCGTATAATATTTTTATTTTCTCAGTAAAATTTTAATATAATTTTTATTTTAAGAAAAAAACCGGCTACGATGAAGTAATGAGAAACAACCCGAGCCCTATCAGAGGCCCTAAAAAAAAAAATTAAGTAAATAAGTTATTAATGGCCCAAGCCCAACCGTTTCCGAAAAAAAAAAAAAACTCCCAATTTGACATATCCCAGAATGCAGTGTCCCCAAACATATTTTTGGCTAGTGTGAAGGTGTCGGGTAGAGTTTTAAAAATATTTATTTAAAAAAAATAACTTTTTATAAATTTAAAATTTTATTAGAAAAAGAAGAAGATAAAAATTGAATTTTAAAAGTAATTTTAAGTAAGTTTACAAAAAAATATTCGTGTAAAAGGTTACATATTTGAATTTTTTTCGAACTTACTTAAAATCATCTTTAAAAACTAATTATTGTCTTTCCATCTAACAAAATGTTAAATTAATGAGAGAAGAATTTATTTTTTAAGCAAGTGTTTCTGAGTCATGTTGACAAACGCCCTTGGTTATTTCTGTTTAATTAGTGGCTCATCTTTTATTTTGTTTTTTATCTTGACTGTATAATGAGAGGCAATCATTTCTTATTTTTTATCCTACTCTACCCATATATCATCAGTTATTCTTCTTCAATTAGTGGCTCATCTTCTATTATCAATTGTCTTTTAAAGAACAATTTAGCCGTTAAAGGTTAAATTTTCATATTAAAGATTAGGTGTGCATTAAAAATTTTCAATATGTGAATTGAATACTAAAATAATACCAAAAATGTATTGAAAAATTTCAATATGTGAATGGAATACTAAAATAATACTAAAATAGTGATGATGTGGAATTGGAGATGCTCTTACATCAAGTCAAAACCTTACAAAAGAAGAAAATATCACATGTTACCTAAACTAGTAGATATTAAATTAATTATAATAAAAAATCCCAATTATGCTATATCTTACTTGCATTTCGATCCAACTAACTAAGAATGAGGGTAAGGCCACTAAGAACGGAGGTTTGTAGCCTTAGTGTCATGGTTTCCTTCAAAACAACATCACAAAAACAGAGTTATTTTAATTTAAATGATAGTTTGATGCCAATAACTTAAGTAATTCAGTAGTTATCTCCTTCCGTTAAAAGAAAGAGGTCTTGAGTTCAAGTCGTATGACATGCGAGTGGAATGAGATAAGGGATGAGAGATGATTGTCTTTCATTGTACAACCAAGATAAAAAAAAAAAAAATGATAGCCTGATAGATGATCACTAGTTTTGGAGAATTGACCATGAGGACTCTTATTGGATTTTGTGGTGGCTCTTCTATGGGTTGTCGCATGATTGATACACTCCATTTATTAGTGTTAATCTTTTGGAAAATATTTTTTAAAAATAAAATTCATTCATGTATAATAAATGGAATAGATTACTATAATCTTTTTAAAACTAACCAAATAGTTTATATATATATATATATATGAAGTTAATGTTTATCACTTATACATATAAAAGTTAGCTAGAAAAATATTTTAAAATTACATCATTTTAATAAAATACTGTAAGAAAATGATCAAACATTTTCATCCCTACTTTAAAAATAATTAAGATATCTTAATTTTTTTATAGGATTTTATTAAAATAACATAATTTTAAGATATTTTTTTACTTAATTTTTTTCAATACAGGTTAATACCTACTTATACATAGATTTGATGATATATTATATAATATATTATATAATAAAAAACAATTTTTTT